ATTTTTATATATTGCAAAAAATAATATCTATATTTTTACATTTTGTGTAATTATATTGTAAATCCTCTACTAAGCATATAGATATTATATTGTTAAATTTCATAAAAGTATGCAGGATGATAAAAAATGGGAATTTAGAACTCAAAAAGTAGATGTATTCAACAAAGAGAGGAAAGAAATTGCAATAAACATAAGTTCAAAATTAAATGTTTTCTAAGTTATAAACAACTTTTTATTACGGTTGAAGAAAGTACCACATCTAATGCTCTTACATAACAGTAAACAAGAGATTACATATCCTTTTCTCATGTTATGCATATATTGTTACGAATACATATCAAAATAGTACATTTAATGAAAAAGGAATTCTATAAAGAAGATTAGTGTCATTGGGTTCTTAATCAACTGGTTGAAAATCCTTGGTCTTTTTTGTGAGTATTTACTAAGAGCATAGTATATTCTTTAACAATTGGAAATGTAAATGTAATATATGAGAAAGCATGGAATTCCTTTCAAAATACAGCAAAACATTTTTGGAAGAGTATTCAGTTCTTTAGTATAAAGGTATTAATTGTTTGTGGAAATATGAAACTTTTTGTGCAGCATGCAAGTAAGTCACCTGTTGTGACTAAATCTAAAAATTGTGTATAACTTTGAAAATACTATTTTTTCAATGAGTGTTTATTCAAACTTCCCTCCTTCTATTTGACAAATACTGTCTATCCTTAAAGTTGTGAACCCTTTTTTCTTATTATCCACAACATCATATTTCAAATATATAAATAAATCACATACATCTGTAAAATAATTATTTTCTAATTTTTCTTTAACAACACTTTTAAATTTCTAATCATATGTTTTTAATGATAAAAGTATATACATTAAAGACTTCTCAATTATGTATTATTCAATTAATGAATAATACTTTTAATATTTCAGGAGAGTAATTACAAAGTAATAGATCGTGAAGTAAATTTTGTATTAAAGAAAAAATCTCTTGGTTGGTGGCCTAGACTAACCAGTCAACCACAAAAGCCAGCTTGGTTAAAAATTGACTTCGATAAGTGGACAAGTGAAGATTTAGAAGAAAGTGAGGATAAAAAATTGGATATCTGCAATGATTATCCCGGCATGTATGACAAACTTTATAAAGAAGAATTTGGTTATAGGAAAGGTATATTATTTCTTATAATAGAGGGTAAATTGTATAATGTGATCAGCTTTATTACTTTCAATGTTGATAAGATTATAATACATTTTTTTATTATAAGGAATATAGTTTCAAAGGGTCTTTAAGGTAATGGTTTTAGATCTGTTACATGTTTTTCCAATAAGTTTCCAAAATTATTTTCAAAGTTATTATGGACAACCTTATATTTTCTTTTTGTTAATTGATCCCATCACTACGGACAACGAAATATCTCGATATTTACCATAATATCGTAGATACAATACTATGGACGGGATATCTCGCTTATACGAGTCGTAAATACGATGTTTTAGACGAGATTTCTCGTGTCGTAATTCTAATTATGCAGTTTAAAAATATGGACTAAATAATCGATATATAAAATATTTTGTCGTCGATAAAAGGTTCTTAAAGACTATAAATAAAAATGCTCTATATTCACAGCAAATGAATTTTCTTATTTTTATTTCGTATGAAACGTTTCAAAGCACGGTGCAGTACATAATCATATTGCAATACATAATCAATACATACTAATTTCTCTATAAATAATCATATTGCAACACACAATCAGTACATAGTGATTTCTCGATAATATCGCATAACGAAAAGTATGATGTGAGATATCTTGTCCGTAATATTGTATTTATGATGTTATGGAAACGAGATGTCTTGACTTTCTTAGCTAACGGATTAACTAGGAAATATTGAAGTAAAGTTTATCAACCTAAATTAAAAATATGGTAATTATTTAGTTTGGGGTATTCCTCTGGGTCTTAATTACGAAAATTTTTCAAACTTCTCTTGTACAACTTATTCTATGGACTTCCTAGAACACATTGATGTAAATGTTAATAACATTATAAAAATTTAAACGTGTTTACTATGTTCACGCCGATGTTTTTTCGACATATGATGTTTTACATTAGCTATGCATCACCAGTGGTATATGTCAATGTGAACGTAGTAAACAATGTTCTCAAAATTAATTATTTCAAAAACTAAGCGTCTAGGACAAAATGTAATCCTAGCACGCGATGGAGCAGATATGTAGCTTGCGGAATCTATTGAAAAAAGTTCCGAGACACATTTCATTTTCAATTGAGAATTGAAAATAGTTGCGTGAAACTTGAGGTACCGGCAGTGATTCAAATGCCAACGACTGCCTCTTTTTAATGCTATGTAGCTGCAGCTAGTTAGTTTGGCCATGTAAATGTGTTAGCTTGCTTTAGTTAGATATTTATTTTACCTACATATTCACATTCCTTTATTATTTATGTATTCTTTTGCAAAAAAAAAACGCTGCAGCTGAATGAAGAAAAACGGGTT